CCATTCATTTCCCTTCTCCTTCTGCGCCGTTTCTTCCTGCTCTTGAGCCTGTTGAAGCCAAGCCTCTCTGTTGCCTTCAAGCTTTCAGGAGCGCTTGACGAAGGTGTTACAAATGAACTTCAAATGAATTCATAACCCATACTGGAGTAAAAACCCAGGCTTCTAACTGTTCTGTGACACCCTGGCTTGGAGGCACTGGTCCTGTGCAGCAGCACAAGATGTCTGTTTGCACAAGGCAGCTCAAAGGGAGCTGCACTCATCTCATGCAAAAACCAGGCAGCAATACCTGGGCTTTGTGCTATCATGCCATCTATCTCAGCACCATAAAGTACATGACCTTCCTGAGCTGTAAGTGCCTGGGGCCCTTTTTCTAATCCTCTTGGCCTCTATTACACAAGAGCATGTGCTGTGTGCTTACCCTCCACCCCTGAGCATGGCAACACTTCTCCATGCTCATACATGCAAGGTCCCAGTACATTCCCACAACTCTCCATCTCATTGTCATGCTTAGGTTCCTCAGGATGGTACAAATGAGGAGGGGGAAAACAGGCTTCTGTAGATCTGAAGAGGACTGTGGGAAGGATAGGAAGTTTTTTTTTTTTTGGCTGTGGATCTAATCTAGTCTCTGTGTATTGCTTTAGATGTATAGGAACTTGTAAGCACAAAAATTATAGGATTTACTTACAGCTAAAATGAGAAATTTATTGAAGCATTAGGAAACACTTGAAAAAAAAAGAATGCATTTATTAAGCCTTAAATTTCACTGAACTTTGAAGGTAATATTTTTCATTAAAGATGCTCAAGGCAACTTCAGAAACGTCTGCAAAATCATTCGACTCGAGGACGAAGCAAGCAGCTTTGTTTGTTGACACAAGCATGCAAGAGGCAAAGTGACAAAGAGAAAGAACAGAACAGCCCCAGCTGTCAAGCCCACGGATAGCATACAGCATGGGAAAGGTCACTAAAACATGCTGTAAATCCACTGCAGCACTGTCAGGCCATCTCACCCTGCTGAAGCTCAGGCACAAAAACGTTGCCTCCAGGGCCAGCTGATACTTAACAGCCTCCTGGATGACACCAGAACTCATTTGCTCCCAAGCCATCTTTTCTTCCCTCCATCCCTACTTTGCCCTCATCCAAACACAGGAAAAGTCTGGAAAAAGACGAATCTCAAGCCACGCTTTTATGAGCAACCAGGAAAAGGAAATTGGGTATTAATTTTTTTCTTTCATTTTAGCCCCATTATAAATGTACCAAAATCAGTCCAAAGTCAGCCACCCTTGTTTCAGAAGACCTATGACAAAGGTGGCCCAGGGCTCATGGCTCACGGCATTACCATGACTGGGAGGGCAGAGCCAGGTCCCCATCACTGCAATGCATGTCAAGTCAAGGCCAGCAGCCCCTCACTTCCATGAGCACGAAGTGTACTTAATACTTTTAAATCATCTGATTAATCAGATAGAAAAATCTGTTGCATGGCTGGGTAGTCTTCAGCTCTAATTTCATATTCCATGGTAGTTAAATGTGAAAATCCTTTTATCATTTACTACAACCCACACTTAACACTTTGCCTTAAACACTAAGACTCGAATTTCAGCCAACCCCTCATAAAAAAAAACAGCAACTCTGCCAAATTCCCATCCACATTCTTTGATAGCAAAGTAACAAAGGTACCATAATTCATTCGATATCATTCTTTTCCTGCTAATGTTTTATTCAGACCGAGCTTCATTAATAAAGATGAAACTTTGGATTCATGATTGCTCCATGTTCACAAAACATTCAGGCTCCTTTACATTGTGGTTAAGCATGAAGAATTACTGAGCACAATTTCCTAAAAGAAATCCCACATACCAAAATTGCATATTTTGAATTTTTAAAATTCACTGAACCAAATTTCACAGAGTGAATCCCAAAGTCTGTTTGCCAGGAAAGCACAAGCCAAAAATGGAAGTCGGGGCCTTCTGGGATAACAAAGAAGTTGGACCCCAACGCACACATTCTTCCCATTAAACAAGCCATTAGATACACATTCACAGAGTAATTTGTTCTAAAAAAAAATGCAGGTAATTTCCTGCATTGTAATTTCCCACAACCACTTTCAGTCTAATTTTTGGCTGCTCAGACAGCACTGGAGTCACAGTTAAGTCTCTTTTTTGTTTGGTGGAACTCAGCAGTGACTTTGACTTCTTACTGGACAGCAGGCAACAAAAATTAGCCCAGAACTCAATGATTTTCACACAAGTCCAAATGTCTCCACAGGAAAAAAAACATACAAAGACAAGGATGCTTTTTTAAAAAACAAAAAAGAACAAAACTGATCCAAACTCTGTTTATAGCAGTACTTTTCAATGCCAGGAATTGGACCGTGGAACGCAGGATGACTATTGACATACTTGAGAAGCATTTTTAACACTGCACATGACAACAAACTATTCAGTTCTCTTCTGTATAAGTCAGCAGAAACGCGGGGTGATCCGACACGACGTGGCAGCTGCAAATTTAAAATGAGAGTCACAGTCTAAAGCCAGAACAAAAACATCTCTTGAACTTCTGTTAAAAAGAAGGAATTAACGTATACACCGCACACGCAGACAAAAATCTTGAGGTTTTCCTTATTGCTCTTACACAAGGCCGTAAGCAGGTAAATGGCTGGATCAGAAATTAGGTCAAACATGCATTTCAGCAGGCATGAAAGTACAGGAAATTCATACTAACAAAACAATGCACTGCATTACGTAACACGGGATGGTATTCTGCTAATACAGCACGTCATTAACACCAGATAAACTCCACTTCTGCCTGTTGTATAACGTGTTATGCACTGTGGTATTTTAACCTAATTTCTGGTTGCTCCTTCACACCGCACTCTCCATGTGGGGATGAAGAGGGGCAGTTTTCAAGACAACTTCTCTGCAGTGCAGAGAAACCTTGGCCTCAAGAGCTCCAAGGGCAGCACAAGGTTCTCAGAGCACCTCCCAGCTATGCTATGTACTCCTGGTATAAGCATGAATTGCTACAGGGGATAAGGCAGCAGAGGGCTGTATTTAGTCACTTCCTCAAGAGTCTATGAAGGCAAGAGTTCTTGGTGAACTGGCTTTTCTTTACATAATAAGCAGTGTAGCGTGGATGTCACCAGAAACCTGGCTGCTGACTGGGAACAAGAGATTAACACGTTCACAGACGCATTCTGGAATTCCTGTCATTCTTTACTGCAACCAAACCAAATGTGCTGCTGAGAGATGTCGATGCATTACAATTCTCATAAGTTCAAGGCATACTGCACATCACCTTGCACAAAAAAAGACAGTGAATTTGTTATCTGAGGACAATGTTGTTGTTTTTTTTCTCTGCTATGAATATATATGACAGTTCCTCTCCAAACGTGACCACAGATATACCGTAACAATTAAGCACCATATGTTTATGCTATCCTGTGATTAACAGAAATTAAGGAAGAAAATGGTGGTGTGGGAATGAGGAGGGAAAGAAATCCAGCACTAAGTCAGAGGTATGTTCTTGAAATTTCTAGTTGAGAATGTTTACTGTGAGCCAGAAACAAAATCAGAAAACCACCACCATCTACAAGGCCAACCTTGGCACTGTACAGTCAAAATTATGTTCTCCGTTGTTATAATACAACCTTGAACAATCTCTAACTAATTACTAGGGAGAGCACTGGGTGGACAAGTCACTCTTCAGGGAGATTACACATAGGCAACTGCTCATACTTTGCACTTGCAAAAAGAACCAGTGCTAATCAATAGAATTTTCTGTCTTAGTAAAGGCCTGCTATGTGCCTCTCAATCCGATCCTTAAATCTTCCAGATTTCAGCATTCACACTTAGCAATTCACACAGAGCTCCATTTAAGCTACAAACAGTACTAAATCTAGCGGAGCAAGGCGCTGCTGAAATGCAGGTTCAGGAATTTGGCTCATTCTGAGTAGAGAACTGCAAATAAGTGGGAGATTAGGACATTCATAGGTGGATAGGGATATTTCCTGTGCTTTTTCTTCATATCTGTCATAACAAAGACCAACATTCATATGAAATGTGGCAAAAGGTCTGCATTATGCTCACCTATGCATTTTAACACCAGGTTGTACATGCAGTACAACCAGCATAGCCACACTGAATTATGAGGGACAGCACAACCCAGGAGAGGGTTCGGCTGACCTGTGTTCTTCTTCCAGCTCTGTCACTGCCTCTTACACAAACTGCACAGAAGGGTCCATGGTCTGTTGGCATGGTGAGGCTTCCTTACAGCAACTTCTTTTTCACACCACCCATGGGTGTGCAGCTGTATCTCCTATGAGATAGGGAGGCAAAATAGGTGTATATTTTTCTAAAAAAAAGTAAGAAAACCCAACCTCTAGAAGAAGAAAAGGAAGAACAATTTGCTGCCATTGTCCTTGCAGGAAGGAGTCCTAGGACTTCTCATGACCCACTTCTTCACTAATGGCCATGAAGGCCAGGTCTGCAGGAAGCCCACTTGCCAGATCAGAGGTAAAACAGTATGACTGATGTTCACCATTCAGAGCCATTCTTCATGTGAAGTAGGTTAGGCAGAAATGTTTGGCTGCGTTGTTAAGTGCTCCTCCTAGGCTCACTTTGCTTCCCTGCTCAGAACCTCCTTCAAATAGAAGATTCTGGAAGTGTCACTTCCCCATAGCTGAAAACAGTGGGGAAAATCAGACATAGAGGCAAAAAACCACACACCACAGAACCAAACGACTGCTTGTAAAATGTTTCCTTTTAAAAACTATTGTACAACCTCCTAACTTAGTTTAATTAATGTGCAGCTTAAAACATAGAAAATGTCTTACCAACTAAATGATTTCTGTTTTACAAGTCTCCCCCTCCCCCCCAGTTAAAAAATAACGTGTGGGTTGGTATCGAACACTTTTCACTGAGTCACAGGCCAGTTTTCCTTCAATTCTACGTGGAGCAGTTCTGATTTTCAGCTACCGCGGTTAGAGAAGAGCTCATACTGCATACTTTACAGTACAACCAGCGACACAGATGTCTTTAATCTCATAACACAATAAAAACTGCCATAAATTACAGTCCCTTTGATAAATGATTATGGTGACGCATGCAGTCCTTCTCATTGCCATTACCATCAGACACTGGACATAGGTTTCTCCACTGGTGCCGAGGGCTGTGGCCAGGCTGGTGCACCACCATCTGGGAACAAAGTGTCCTGCAGTCATCGGCCAAAGTTTCGGTGAATTGTCTCACTCGATACCACCACCACCAACAACCCAACCCCTGGGTGAGCAACCCTGGGGCAGCCCCACACCCCTCAGCCGCATGAGATCACCGTGAAGCGCTTGGAAATGCATGACATGTTGTGGAGGACGATGCCCAGGAGAAAGACCAAGACGCAGGCCACCAGGATCACAGTGCAAACCCCCGACCAGGTGGAGCTTTTCACCACGCCTCTGCGGTCAGGATCCTCCGCACCTGCCTCTGCAGGAAGGCCACCCTGCAGCGGCTGCTGCTCGGCCGGGATCGTCACCACCGCCAGGGACTTCTGCTGGCTGCCGGGCAGGAGGCGACAGCCGACGTCTCCCGGCAGCATAGCCCTCTCCTTGGAGAGCGGCAGGGGCAGCATGTAGCACCCGTTGCTGGGGAGTTTGATGAAGACAGGGGTGTGCTCAGAGGTGTGGGGGATGGCGATGACGGCGATCACCTCGGGGTCATCGGGCAGCTGTGACACGGAGTAGCCCGGCGGCAGCTTGGTGATGCCGCGGCACCAGGGACACCGCAGGTCCTTCTGGCTGGTCCTCATCTGCTGCAGGCACACCGAGCAGCACGTGTGCTTGCAGTCCAGCAGCTTGGGCCGCCTACGCGGGCTGTAGTAGTTGAAGCAAATCTGGCATTCCAGCAGGGAGTCCTGGGACAGCGTCTCCATGGTGGCTGGCACAGCGCAGCGAGGCACCGCCAGCCTGGTGGGGGTCTGGCCACAGTGTCCCACAGCCACCTTCAACCGCTTCTTCTCAAGAAGGCTGGCAAAAGCGCAGGGAAACCTCCAGCTCTTCAGCACCTGAGGCAAACAGAAACGTGAAACAGTTGGTTACTGACAGGAACGTGAGGAAACACAAGCCTGGCTACAGGTGAGTGAAAACTAGAGCTGAATTTGTAAGGTGGCAAGAGAAACAAATCTGCAACTCTGAACAAGCAAGTATTATTCTGTTTACCAAACCGGTTGTGATAGCCAACATTCACCCTCTTCTTTCAGTTATAAAATCACTATCAACCCTTCAGACTTCTACTCATATTTATGCCCATGAAAGAGCCACGAAGCAGGTCCTTCAGCATCCACCTCGTATTTTCAGAACTTTCTTCCAGCCCTTTCTGCACTATAACAATTATTCTCATTTTGCCCTCTAAAAACCTGATGATTTTTAGCTATTTGGCCCAACCACTAAGTCTGCATGCAAGGTGGAAGGAAAAAAAAAACATTTAAACAGATGCATTTCCACAGGCTCCTGAAGTTCAAATGCATACATGAATGAGCAACCACCTAACTACATCGAAACACCCACACTTATGCGCAACAGAAAGGAAGGGCAAGTTCTTCAGTTAAATTAACTGTGGGCTAGGTTAGACGAACAGCTTGTGAAATAAACCTCATCCCTGACAAAGGCATCCCCCGAGGTGAAAGGCTCTGCTGAGAACCCAGGACTGCAGCACATCATGGAGAATGCACAGCACTGAAAGCAAGCTGCTGTTGACCCTGTTCTTAGCCAGTCATTAAAAAAGGATTCCTTGCACTTCCCCACTTATTCCTTACAGCTATGCAAAAAGAGGCAGCTGTGTTTACTTCCACAGCAAGTTGTTTAGCCTTGTGTGATTTCAGCCACTCCAACGCATGGTAAATACGAAGGAGAGATATTTTTACAACTTTTTGCTCCGCCTTCCTCACTCTATTTGAAGAAGTATCAGATCAAATTTGCATCCAGATAATGCAGGAAAACAAACCCAAAATATTTGCGTGGGGACCTTTGATCGTCTCTTATCACAACGTTATATGCAACAGAGTTAACACCACAGCTGTTGGATGATTTTTTTCCCTTCCACAGTATTATTTCTTGTTCTTTCCTCCAGGTCATAGCAACTGGGGGGCAACATGATAATCAATAGGTGACACCAGAACAGAAATAACGTCGTTCAAGAATACAAACCAGGCATAAACATGGGGTATGCAATGCAGGGTAGGCCTCTGGACTACAACGTCCCACATCCTGCCAATATTTGAACTGGGAAAACAAAATACACGTCATCTCTTCAGATGCTAATGACTTGTCACTGGTTGGCAGTGCTGGCCCTGCTGCTGATTTTATAACAGCAGTAGATTTTGGCTCACAAAATGCTTCAACAAACATGCAGTGACAACCCTGACTCAGGAGGCAGCAGGGACTGAGGTTATGAAAACTGGAGCTTGTGAGAAAAGCCGTGTTCCAGCCATGGGAATGAGCCTTTTGGGATACTCTGTCTAAGACCCTGGCCAGTGTGAAGCCTGCACAGGACTGGGACAAGATGCCCAAGCACCAGCTGTACATTGCACAAGGCATTAACAGATACCCCACATGCAGAAGGAACCACACACTGCCATGGAGGAGACTCTGCATTCACAGCTCATGTGCAGGCTGCAACCAAGAGAAAGGAGCAGAAAATGAGGAAAGGACTGATCTTTTGCATCACTATCTCCACATCCCTAAGGCAAAGGCAGGCACAAGGAAGACTGGAAGAAAGAATCTTCAAAAGACTGGTATGCACCTGAAGAAGGAAAATGGAAGAGCCAGGTACCTCCCAGCTGAGAAAGAGTAAGAGGGAAAGGCCAGATTAGAAACAAATTACAGGAACTCAGGAAGGGACCGCCCAAGTCACCAGACCCAGTTTTCAGCCAACCACATGTGATCCAGCAATTTTATACAAATTCTTCACAGTCATGCATTCTCTCTGACAAATGAGCTCAGACATTAAAAGATGCAACTCCAAAGTCCTAGGGATAGCCCTAGGTATATGCAAAACTGTTTAAAAAAAAACAACGGTATAATAATACTGCAACACTATTATGAGGTAGAATATTATTGTGAGACCAGTGAAATTCTCTGACCCCACTTAATTGTCACCTGTAACCACTTCTCTCCTGTTACAGCGCTCAAGTAAAACTAGTTTCTATTGATCTTCAAGCAATTGAGATCATGCTCGTTTTTTTCTAACCACCTATCCTTGCTCAGGAGTTATATATTCATATGCTATCGAGCCCTTCATCCCTGTTGCAGTGACATTCTTAAGGCAGAAGATCAGTGCTAGAAGAGAAAGAAGGAAGATATTCAGAACTGAAAAATGAAATTAAAGTCACCTCCAAGCAGAGAGTGTCCAAGAAAAATGAAAACATTCATTCCAGCAAAAAGACCTTGGCTGGTCTGAATGCTAAGTAATGGTGTGAGGCACTTATCCAAGAGATCCAAGTTACAAAGCACTGGTGGTACAAACAAAAAGAAACAGAGTGAAGTCAGATTGGAAGGTATGATGGGACCTAGGACCAGCATGATGTTTGGGCTCAACGATCCTTGCAGGTCTCTTCCAGCTTGGGATATTCTATGATTCTTCAATATATCTGCAGAACACACTGTGACCATGACAGCTCCATTTTGATCTGGTGTTAAATCAAAGAAACAGTCGCTTCCAACCGTATCTTAGAGTTACATGTTTAATTACAAATACTGTTGTGAAGAGCAAGGCTGCATGGTGCATATGCCTATTTCAAATCACAACATTTCTTTCCCCCAATGCCTCAAGTAACAACCAGAGATATATTTTGACTGATCAGTGGTGACATCCTGTAAGCAGAGACTAGTATGATTCCTTCAGAACATGTCTAAGGACAAGTTAAATGGCAGTCACAGCCACAAAACCCATTGGTCTTTGCAGATGCTGATGAGGTTGCCTTTCCCACAACTCACATATTTAGTTTGGTGAGTGAAATGCAACTTCACTCCCAACCACAATGAAAGACATAGAAGAAAGTCAAGCCATCACCTACAGTAAGAATTAAAGCACACGGTAACTATCTGCTTCGTTCCACCACGTGCGGTTAGAAAGGAAAAAGCCACACAAACTCTCTTGGTACTTCTCTACCACTTTATTTCAACAGCTAAGCAAAGAGTTAATGCTGCAGTAACCTCCTGGATGGAAGGCTGAGCTGTCAGGTCTGTGATCAACAGCTCCGTGCTAGCTGGAGGTACTGAGCTATCACAAGTGGGCACCTTGCTCAGAGCTTACTCAGATGCACTCTTTCTGGTGCTTTGAGCCCAAAATCCAAGAGGCAGCCAGGCTTTGTGTTTTTTACACAGTGACAGCCACAGGGGCTGCTGGTGCAGGAAAACTGTGGGGAAAAAAAATTCAGGAAAGATTCTGTGGGGCTTTAAGAGAGACAGCGTTATGTATGGATGGATATGGGCATGCATGTGCAAGGAAAGGCTGGGGAACATGACATTCACTGAGAAAGGCAAGTGCAACTGCAATTAGTAACTCTGCCTGGTGTAAATCTGACAGCAACCAGAGCTCTTCAGTGCTGAGATCTATCTAGTAATACAAACAAAAATTAACAGAGTATGAAAAATGCTCCAAAATTCAAGTATCAGACAGGTTCAGCAGCAGCTAGGAAGTGAGAGGAGACAGACCTGTAAAGCAGCATCAGGAAACTCCCCTGCCTACCCCTTCATCCTTACTGCAGCCAATTTCCAAAGGGCTGCTGATGGCCAGTGCAAGGAGAGATTAACACACAGTGATAGAGACTGCTCTCAGGAGAAGAGAGACAGGGAAGAACCTGAGAAAATGATGAACTGCAGGTGGCTCAGGGCATGACAGCTTGCCCACCCTGCAGATTGGGGCTGCCCTCTGAGGAGTCTTAAAGATTTGAGAAAATACCAGATGACTCGAGAGCAACACAGACACAAAGCTTTGGAGAATAAACCATGGCTCTCAGCTGTTTGTCATTCATGCCATCTGCTCTGCCAATACCTTGTCAGAGGCTGAGGCTGGGTCTGAAACTCTTTTTTTGGGTGATGCCAGGCATGCTGTAGCGCTGGCTTCCTGCTTCCCAAGATATCAAAGGGTGAAAGGGCATTTGTTGCAGTTTCCAGCTTCCGAACACAACGCAGAGAGGTACTGCACAAGGTGTACAAAAAAAGGTTTCTTCAGCTAATGCAACATAGCTACAGGGAGAGGAAAGAGAAAGCAAAGAGGTTTGATTAAAATTAGGTTTGCTGCAAAGAATGTTTGCACAAACACCAACTATAAAGCGACCAGAAAAGGCAGTTATTTTTGGAAGCCGGTGCAAAGACGGACATTAAACATCCACTGGATGTGAGATGGACAAGTTCATGAACACAACAATGACAAATCACTGCCTGTTAACACAGTATAAGGACAGCCTCAATGACTAAGCAATGAAAAGCACAGTCTTGAAGGGATGCTGCCTCTACCAGAGAATGAAGAACTATCTTCACACATATTTCTAACTTATTAAGGCTCCAAATTACACCAGCATGAAAGCCACAAAAAGATACTTAATAATGCCCATGGAAATTTAATACAATTCAAAGAAGGTTAAATATTGCATCATGTTGTTAAAGACTGGCTCCAGGGCACGCTGGTGTAGTTAGCTGATCACTGAAAGCCTCGAAAACTTTGCACATACTTATGCATGTGTTTAGGCACGCCGTGCTTGCTGCATGGCAAGGTTACTAACAGACATCTAGCAAGGCAGCGCGCTGATGAAACTTCACCTTTCTCAAGGAAGGTTCATTACACAAACTCCCCAAACTCATTAAGAATTCTGTGACAGTATTACTGTCTATGATTTATGACGAAGGGTTCAGGTGCACTTAGGCTGGAAAGGAGAGGGAGGGGCAGCACAGAGGGGAACTAATTGTAAAAACCCTCTGCCCACAGACATGGAAAGAAATGCCTGCTACAGTCACTTAGAACTGACTGTGAAAAAAAAAAAAGTGAATAGAAAGAACATAATTA